ATTAGTGTGTGTGTGTGTGTGTGTGTGTGTGTGCGTGTGTGTGTGTGTGTGTGTGTGTGTGTGAGCAAGTGACTGTGAGCGTCTAAGTGTGTGTTTGTGCTTATATCATATATGTGTATGAAAGAATGCGACTCCCTTTCACTCTTTGTTCTCAACTCCTGGCAAACATTGACTACCAGCACATACGTGAAACTAACCCAATTTGCATATTTAATCCATTTCTCTGAGTATGTTTCATACTACATGTACTACTATTACTACTGCAACTGAGTGATACTATAAGTTCATACACTAATCCTATTTATTTCGGTCAACATACTTTCAGTTTTAGTCAGAGTTTTACAGTACTTGCAACACGATAAGGTGATTCAAGTGCCAAAGATTTCAGGTATTACAAGAGAGTAACAAACACAAAAAAAGAAGGCAGGAGAGACAAGGTCATACATTATAACATGTCTAAGTGCCTAAGATTTTCGGTGCTACAAGAGTAACAAACACAAAAAAGGAGAGACAAGGACGATAGACGTTTGATAAGAAAGAAGGAGCAAACCACACCAAAGCACCAGCCAACCACCCATGGTCAATGTACACCAGAGAACATGGCACTGAAAATGAAAATGATCTTAAAGACAAGTGTACTCTTTTGGGATCACCAATCCAACCCTTGCAAGCAAAGTTGTCTTGAGAGCCAAAAAATCAAAGATGCCAATTGGCTATACAAAAACGAATCGAGTACCAGTCGGATTGAGTGGAAACGCCAACACAGGAACTCAAAAGTTACGGATCATACTGGCTAATATAGAATCTAGCTACTACAACGAATAAATTTCTTACAAGTGCAAAATGATTTGAGGAAAGATATAAATTAATGTATGGGCAGGAGTCAATTATAAAATCCAGACAATTTCAGAAATCTGAATTTCCCAATTTATCCAAACAATGAAAACAGACTATATACAACAAAGAATTCTGCACATTTCAAGGACACATCTATCATTAAAAAATTAGAATTTTAAAAAGTGGATAATATAAATTACATAAAAACCTAAAAAATTTTAAATTACAGAAAAAGCAAACCGCACATCTCACCGTAAAACAAGTTGTCATGTAGTTTTCTACACACAAAGGTCCAGAATTTTTTTCCATTTCGTCTTCGACTCGTATTTGTCTCAAAAGGAGATTCCCCATCTTGAACATGAAGATTACGAAGCTTTGACCAATAGAAAAGCTAATTTTCACTCTCAATGAAGTCTCAAGTTTAAAAAATATAGGCTAAAAAATCAAGACTAGCCTCTCTTGAAAAAAATCCTTTTCACAAACTTGTAACCACGTTTATGCCAACAACACTATATGTTTCCCACACTTTGTTCAGAATGTCTCTCCGAGGATGCTCCCCCATTCGATAAAAAATTCCGTACTGTAATAAAGTCACAGTGCAAAAAAGGTTGCGGAAGAGCGAAGTGTGAAAAGTAATTACATTACACTCTCTGCGCGTGTACCTGTATTCCCTCCCACACACACACACACACACACAGAGGGAAAACTAGTACCCTATTTGAACCACAGTTTATCAGCAGATGGATGGTCCAATATATTGGACGGAATTGTCAGAGACAAACAACTGAACACTGGGAATAACCGAGAAATGTTGCAAAGATGATAAAAAAATTGAGCTATTTGGGGGAAAAAAGTAGTCAATTTCTAGTCGTAGGTTAAAAATCTATTTCAACAAAACAAACCAATTTTCATTCAATACCCTTCCTTTCCACTTCTAAAAAGTTTGTTGTTTATCATTGTCTGCAAATGCGTTACTTTGGATGATGTTCATTCTCATAGTTTCATACATAATTATATCAAAGCTAGATACTTTCTTTGTTTTCTCAATTGTGCCTTTGAAGAAATTGTTGTTTAGAAAAATCCATCAACCAAAATAAACTCCTTGTACACAAAACATTTTGAAATTATCGGGGGAGTAAAAAGTCTGATTCTATCAACAAAAGCTACAGACTCAGAAAATGACCTCGTTTCAGAAAAATCATTCTCCCCCCCATTCTTCCAGTCTAATCCCTGCTTTATTTACCTCGATTTCCAAAGATTTTCCTGAACATTTCTTAAATAGGTTCAGAACAAGAACAGCTGGGTCTGACACTGTGTCGACAAAGTAAGTCGTTAGTTGTTTTTTTGTTGTTGTTTTTTTTTGCTTTGTTTTAGACACCCCGTATTTAGCAACTGACTGAGGTAGAATGGGAAAGATAGTGATATACATGCCAAAAAAAAGCTTCAAAGCCGTACGTTTTGCCAATAGAGAGAGGGTGGTAATTTGGAATCAACAGTCCCCCCAAGGGAGTTATAAAGAAGCCCTTTATTTTATTTTTTATGCGGGGGGTGTATAAATGACTATATATTTATAGAAGTGTTTTGACTTCCGCTTTCAACAATAGGAAGCCCTCCTTTTTATTCATTCATCTCAGGTTCTTTACTTTATATATTCACATTATTACTATTCATAAACCAATTTAGCTGTTTATTCACTTAGGCACTAAACTCTAAATACAACACATAAGGGACAAAACAGTATATTTACAGACTTTTTCTAAATGACTTCCACCACCAACAAAAGAAAGCAAACCTTATCAAATATGTAAGTGTACAAACATACCAAGACGAAAACCAGGTAATGTAAAATCTTCCTGCTTGCTCCACGGAGAAAAGCAATACATCGAACCTGCAACCAGCAGAAACCTGCACAACAAGAGAAAATAAAACCAAAAATTAACCACATCTTCATCTTTTCTAAAGTTTTAGTGCAGTAAAAGTTTTCCTGCACTTGCAGCAAAAAAGGCGTCCAAGTGCTGAAGATTACAGGAGTTACTTGAGAGTAACATTAAAGAATAAGAAGAAAGAGAGAAAGTATGGAAGATTTTTTATGGGAAAGAAGAAGCAGCAAACCACACCCGAGTGCCCACCAGATTTTCAAAAACTAGATCCGTTAATCATTTTTAAAAAAGAAAAAAATGTGGCTCAGGCATTTTTATATATAACAACAAAGTGCACTCTCTTAACATTACCTTTTTAAGCCTAATATCAACAATATGACACGGAATATGGTGTATGCACTAAGACCAGCACCCAGTACCCAACTTATTTTCGCTACCGATATTATTGAAATGTTGTACTCCTCAGCCAGCTAAAAAGAAGTTGCAAAATTTCCAGTTCCAGTAAATTTTGTGAACTAACCCTTTATCTCAGCATATCACAGTAACGTTTGTTCATTTTCCTGTTCACAGAATATACCAATCTCAATCCTACTTTGCTTTATTCAAGTCCGCAGTATCTTTACACCTCCAATGACAATGCTTTTCGCTTTCGAACAAGGTTTGCTTCTATTTGTGTACATACACCCTACTGCCTTACGGGGGCAGTATGGCCTACAGACGTAAGTCATTTTCGGCGGCCTTTGAGATACATTTGTGTATGCAATACTCTCTCTCTCTTGCCCTTTTAAACTCCCAGTGGAGCACAGGCCATCAACAACATTACTCCAGCGAAGCCCGTCCTGAGCATCCTTTTCTATCTGTTTCCATGATGTCCCCGCCCTTTTTAACTCCCAGTGGAGCACAGGCCATCAACAACATTACTCCAGCGAAGCCCGTCCTGAGCATCCTTTTCTATCTGTTTCCATGATGTCCCCGCTTTTTCAATTTCCGTATGCAATACTGCCTGCGATTATTAGGGGAGGTTCAGAGTATATGGTAAGATGGGAAAGTAATGATATTGATATAACTGTAAGCGATTTACAACCCCATAAACACATTTTAGATCATAAAGCACTCGGCTTGCTTCGACCCTGCCTGTAAGTGCCAAACATGGCAGACAGGGAGACAACATTCCCACATTCAGACTGAGACAATCTATGAAAAACAAACCTCCCTACGTGGGAATTAAAGTCGTATCTTCTGCATGTGATGGCAAAGATCATCCTATCCGCTACACCGCACATGCCGGCAAGATAGAGGACATCGACAGACCCAATTTGCCTCAAAGCCGTGATATTATTGGACGAGGGTCCAGTCCTCGTGTAGACGTGTATGACCATGAATCATCTCAGCACAACGTGAGATAACATAACGACCAACATGTAAATTAGCCGTCTCGCTGGACACAGCCCACTTGAGATGTTGACGAACTACGACAACTGTTTGAAAAGAATTTTACACTTCTACAACCACAATATTATTATCATTATATATATATATATAAAATATTATAATATATTACAAGGGAAGCACTGACAATGGGCACTTCTATTTATTTACTTTATGAATTTGAACAATTGAGCTTTCAACTCAAGAGAGGGATTTAGTTTTAAGGGAACTTAGTGCAAAGCCAACTTGAATGTGAAGCAAAATTATCACACTACTCTCCTGTCGTAAATATATATATATATATGAGGTCTTCTGCTTATCGGCCAAAACTGGTGCACAACGGTCACAACACTAAAACAAGAATAGGTGTACGTGTGTTCATCACAGTGTTAATTATGAATGTCACAGCTAACCTCTAAACAAAACCAATTTGTTGTTACAATATCAGATCACCTTTTTTAGTATTATGATTATCATATTCAAGGCTTATAAATTTGATCATCTTGACAGCATCTTTCTTAGCTTGTGCTGATGTCATTTCACAAGCAGAAGCTCAAAACTAATCAAAGTGAAGAAATTATAAAAATAAAACTTTGGACAAAGAGGCAAACCATTCAGTTAATTCTATTTGCCATTAGAACAAATCTATTGTCAGTATTCATCCGGGCTGTTGCAACAAAATGGGAACATGTGATCCATGGGATCTTTCCAAGAAGAGGAAAACAATAACTCTTGACAATGATAATGACAAACTGGCAAAGATGGCTACTGGGTGGATGAGAGATATATAGAATTCTCGCAGCAGAAAAGAGCAGACACTGGTCCTTTATGGGTCAACAGACAGCCACTGAAACTTGTGAGGACATTCCTCTGGAGGTTTGACGATGGGCTTACAGTTTGTCTAAAAAAACTTTACTTTGTTTACGAAACAAAAACAAAAACAAAAATGGAAAAAGAAGGAGAGGTAGCCCAACTGGAAGTTAGAAGGAATGCAATCAGAGGTGAATGAGTCAATCATTCAAAAAGTGGATGGGTCAAGGCTAGAGAAAGTGGTCAGGAACCAACACGTGTGATGTTGACTGCTCTAAGCCTTGAGCACCAGACAGAACAGTACAGGGAGAAAGTAACTGTACAGCACACACATGATGTAAGGTAGAGATGAATTCATCACCATCTTTGAAGGGAAAAGTCCTCACAGAGCCCATTGTCAGCGACTGAACCATTGACCCACCCAAGATGCCTACTCCAGGGATGACTGTTGCAGCTCCTGACGAGAGCTGGAAGGAAACTTGCAACGTCACTGGATGCTTGGGGTTTTTTCATAACAGTGTTATGGCACTTGCAACATAGTAAGGTCATATATAGGCACTGAAGAATAGATGCGTTACAAAACAGTAACATACACTACACAAAAAAGGAGGAGACATTAGGATGATAGATTTTCGATAGAAAAGAAGGAGCAAACCACACCAGAGCACCCGCTAACCATCCACTCACAGGATGTTTTAGTTTCAGTTTTAGTAAAAGAGAGAGACTTTTCTGCCACTTGCTATGCATGCAATTAATTAAGGACATAAAGAGCACTGGAGACTAGAGATGTCACAAAAGATTAACTTACAAACATAACAAAAATAATAACATAGAAAAGAAGGAGATTTACATTGTCAATAGAGATGTTTGATAGCCTGAAAGAAGGAGCAAACTACCCACCAACCACTCACACCGTCACTAGAGCCGACTGTCAACTCAAACAACTGCTAATAGGTATCACCAGAAAAAGTTTCAAATTTGTGACGTGGTTTCAAATATCAACGATCCTAATAAATGTGAACTTGTGAACCCACGCTCCATCAAATTTACATAATGTGAATGGTATTATTAAGTATATTATGAAATATAATATATCTTATATAATGTAATAAGAGGATCCTTACACTTGGAACAGGAAGACTTTTTTCATGAAAATGGAGAAGGACTGTCATGTTATCAGAAACAGACATTGTCCTAAAACAGAGTAATAATCCTGGTGAGCTTGTGACTGCTTGGGAGATTTTATGTTGGCAGGACTAGCAAGTACTGTCAGCACGGCTCAGCAGCGACCATTAGCTGATAACTAATTAATACGACAATGACGACGGTGTCTACTGAATACATTATAAATACAATAATAAAAATTCCCTCGTGATATTATGACTTTGCTACGGTGTCATACAGCTATTGTCACCAAAAGATTTGTATTAAAAACCTCAATACACGAAATCTCCTGTCTTACAGGCTTTTAAATTTAACACATTTTTTTACTTTTTGTGATTTTCTCAAGTGAAAAAAAAATCTTAGTTTCAGTACCAGCACTGTTTAGTTTTGTTTGTTTTTTTTCCTCTGCATACTAACTACTACTTGTATTTGAATTTGCAATTTTTGCCATTTTTAAAACATGATGCAAAGTTAAGCCATTCACAAAACGTTAAAATAGGTGCCATAATAGCTGCATCTGAACTCAAAATGAAAAATTTGTATTGCTTACTACTGGACCTACGAGATTTTTCGCCCTTGTCCGAGAAGGCTAGAGATGTAGATCTTTCCTACCATAAGATCAGGGGTGTGGCTGAAAGACAACAGTAAGAAGGAGCCAAGAAGTAGCAGTAGAAAGGCTGCTGAAAGAGTCAGGATCAGAGGAGGGGGCAAAGTAGGTGAGGGGGTGGGGGCAGAAAGTGGAGACGAAAGCAGTCAACAGAATATTGAGCTGCTAGAAAGCAGGAAAGGAGGTGAAAGGAGACAATCTAAGAGAGGAAAATATTTCCGTCGCCTCGCAGATTCGAACCTGGGACCTTGAATGAGAGGTGAACACTTTAACCTCTAGGCCACGACAGCCCCCACCTGTTATGTTGTGTCAAACTGGTGGTGTGTGCTGGACAAAGTTCACAGTATGATCATGTCTATTATAAATAAAGCATGCGAACAGTGTTTCCAGTTTCCTTTTGAACTTGTTTAATGTACTGCAGCACCTTTGTTGTTCAATTGCTCAGTTAAAAATAGGATGGCTGTATACTAGAGTGAACAACTAGGAGTGTGTATGCACAGAGACAACACACATGACACTGGGTGACCCAATTGTGAATTCAAAACGTTCACAGAAAAAACATAATAGGCCTGCAACGCCAAATGCACAACAAAAAAAAATCATTTTAAATGATAAAAATAATACGTGTAAACACAGTCCGCCTTCTTTTTGTAGTGAGTATGTTACTTCTGACTGTTACATTCTGCATTAATGACTTAAAAAATGAAACCCCTTAATTTAGTGTGCAAAATTAAAACAGTTCATCAAATGGAGAACTATACCCAGTAGGAAAGCCACACCATCATGTCATACAAACGACATGTATATCCGGTATGTGATTATTAAACCATAAATTTACACTTTTACTAAGGACAGAGAAGTTATATAACTAGTTTAACTTCTTTTGAAGAAATGTGATGCGTGCTCTGGCAGAACTAGGATTGTGTTGGGATTTGAACTGGAAGCTAAAATATGATTGCATCATCTCACCACATCAAGTTTGAATTTTAAATTATTTTATACCAGGGGATTTCCCAACATCTTAAAAATATGTCTATTTTCCTCAAGCCATACACTGAAAATAGGTCTTTAAATAAATCAGTAACGGTTGATGCTCTGAATTCAGACTACAGACTTTTGGTCACAACACTTTTAAAAAATAAACTATGGGACATGCTGCACCACACACCATTCTTTTATTAAGCATTTTTTAATCTCACTTTCATGGGTTCCCACTATCGTGCATGATTTCAGAAGGACAACAGTTAACTATTTCCAAGGCCCAGAGGACACACCCTCTTCACCTGTGTGTTTACAGTTTCGCCAGAAAGAGTTTTGACGCTCCATCCCTTTTGCACACATAATTTCACATATTTGATATTCTTCTGGTTCTTTAAATTTTACAAAAAAGAAAATCTTTATTATATTCTGTTTAATGAACATTTTTTGTGCTGTTTGATCAGTGTAACTAGCTCAGCGTGTGAAAGGCCAAAGTATATTATATCAAGGCAAAAGGCATTATCTGTCTGCCCCGGTCAATATCAGTCGTAAGACGCACTATGTTTTATAATCAGTTACGAGGCTCGAAAGGAAAAAATAGGACATTCTATGCAATTTTTTTTTTTTGTGTTCTATTGAAATTTGGATATCTTCTGCTTCATTTAAGATCAAAATAAACAACTACAGTCGACTATAAATATTTTATTTTGAATTACTTTGGAGGTGTGTGTGGTTAGTTGTGAGCTTGTGTGACTAGATTAAGGAGCCCATTTTCTCCTTTTCGTGTTTCCCTACCTTACACTCTTAAAAGTTCCATATTTTCCTCAAATATTGTCCAATTTACTTCATTTTTTTTCAATAGTTAGTAGGAAAATGGGGATAGTTTTTGGAAATAAGGTTAACCTAATTTTCAAATTTCCTTCATAAATAAGACTGATTTTGACCGGGAGGGTCACATTATAACTACTACAAGAAAATCGTACCAGTTTAAAATCTACAAATTTGATGTGCTTTCATTTTCGGCCGACATCTCCATTTGTGGATTGCAAAAAGTAAGCATTTGTCAGCTCACCTCACATATCAAGAAAAGAGTCCTTTTTTTTTCTTTTTTAACTCTAGCTTTCTTCCCCGACACCAACATCTCCTAAATGGACAGGAAAGTCCTATTAATCTAATGCACACACACACACACACACACACACACACACACACACATATATATATATATTAATTTCTACCCCAAAAAAAACATGGACGCTGTCCTTTTTTGCTCCGTAAACTTAAAGTCTGAGGTCTGTGACAAAACAATGCCTGGTCCCTCAGTAGAACGAGAAAGGTGCATGAGTATATATATGTATTCATCAGAACTCTGACTGGTGAAATCGTTAGACTTTTACTCATCATGTACAGAATATATAACAGACAAATATCGACAAATAAGGAACAAAACATGATCATGAACAAAATACAAGCGTAAGAAGCCTGTTACGGCAATGACGAAAAAAGTAAATTGTGTCACGTCGGGGTGGAATCAGGCACTCGTCAATTTCTGGGTAGGCCTACTATACAATATGGAGTTATTGTGGTATCATCTTAAAGTTTGTTCAATTTGCCTTGCATTTGATGAAAAAAATCATTTATCTTGCATTTCGAGACATTTGTAGGTTGAAGGAGGTGGGGTAGTCTGGTATCAGAAGTAAAATAAGTGAGAAAATGGCCGCTAAAGTTTGGTGTCTTCCAGCTATATAAAGAGTACTTGGAAACTGCAAATACATTTTTCGAGCCTTTACTTTTATTAATGTTTTTCCAAAAAATCCACACGTTTTTGAATGGACATAGATCTACAAGGTGTAGAGCCCAAAAAAAAAATTCCAAAAAAAAATTCCAAATTGAGAGAAAAAAAAATGTCTCTGATGAGAACAAACACGACACATAGAGCCTGAGGCAGATCTAGAGAAGTTGGACAACGGTGGGTAGTAGAGTTAGAAAGTCCACAAGGGGCAGTGTAGAAACTATTTTGCTCCAACATTATATTCTATATTTTTGCATACACACCACTTTATTTTCTTTACCGTTTGAGTAGTGTAGCATACTACAATGTATCATTTTTATCTTTAACCCTTTGGTCCCTGACCTCCAGCTGTGCTCCTCTGCCTGAGCTTTAGATATTACTACATATTTCATATATATATATATATATGATCGTCAGAACCACATTCCATTATACCCCACTCATGATAGTCCTCGTCATTACTGGCATAATTTAGAAACATCTTCAAAATAATCAATATCGTCCTGTGTAGTAAACATGGTTTCTCCTGTACGTGTTTTGTCGGCCGGGTTGGGGATAGTCAAGCTCACCGGTGTACCGGTGGCTAGGTATACGGGAAGTTCTACGCACCTCTGGTGTACTGGTGGAAATGGCCCAAAGGCTTAACATCAACAATAGAAAGACAATTTTATTAAAAAGAGACAGTTTGAAAGAAAAAAAAATTTAATTTGAGGGACTGCAGTGGTAGTTGTAAAAATTGACAAAATGATATAAAAAAAAGGAAGTGGTTAATATCCATCGTCGCGCCAGTCAATAGATCGATGGCTGTTTTCCAGCGTCACGTAGAGTTGCACACGTCGCTTCTCAACAGCTTTTCATCTTCCCTGTCCGCAAGTCATGGCCTTACACAAACACTCATCAGGGTCGGCATTTATTCAGAAGGCGATTCACCATAGAGTGGACACGCAGCCATAACTCAATGAAAGCTCCCGTGACGGAAGAAGGAGGAATTTCTGTGTCAGAAATGACAGCACCAGAAGCGCCATCAACCCTCAGTCACAACCAGAACTTGTACAAGAAGGCGCATCTGGCACTGAACTCAGTTACGTAATAATGGCCATAATGTGCTGACAGGGAAGATGGAAAGCTGTGGAGAAGTGACATTTTCAACTATACGCGGCACCGGAGAATCTTGTATAGCCATCGATCTATTGACCGGCGCAACGCCAGAGAACGGCTACTTGCTAAAAAAATAGACAAAAGTCAAAGCTACTAAAATGTCAGTCAGTAAGCAAACGTATTTGTGGTAGCATTCAACCTAACCGAACACTAACCATTGACTAGCCTACTCTCAGTCTCACTCAACTAACAGCAGGCCTACGCTTAGCTAATACATTTTTAAGGCACAACAATATATCACAGAAGTTCACCTAAAATTAAAAATGATAGGCTATATTTCATATTGAGACTATGACAAGAATGTTATTTGGGGAGGGGGGGGGATGTCATGCCATGAATCAAGTGCCATGAGTGCTCCACCACAAGAACATGAGCAATCACAGTCAACTATCATCACCATGATAAAGTCGGCCAACATCAACAAGACTCTTGTCAAGTGCAGAATTCATCCCTGATTTCAGTTAGGACAAGGGTATAATATATATATTTATATCTAGATCTAGAATCTAGATCTCTATATCCACTGTATTGTGACTATGATTTCAATATATATTAATTATATTCTAAACAAGATCTAGATCTAGATCTAGATCTAGACTTAGAAACTAAGTCGAACATGATGCCCGAAACTCTAAATCAGAGTCTGGATCATGTAAACCAGAAAATCTGAAAGGGGAATGACCTCAACTGAACATAAATTCATAGTCGTCCTACAAAAACATGACATGACCATCAAGATCAACTCAACCTGTTCTTGGCAGACTAAAATACTAAGTCAGCACATCAACCTTTAGCTTCTGCTTTGTGAACTATTGCAAATATTAGATCTAAACGAGTCTAGATTAAAATAGCAAATTTAGAATTCAAATCCAATATCATGCTAGAGATCTAAGTCCTAGTTTTGTTTTCGGCCTGGATCTAGATCTACTACTTCTAGATTCTAGGCTGTGTCTCTAGGCCTGGCCTAGCCTACTAGTTTTACGTAACCAGAGTAAAGCACCGTACTGTGTAAGAAGCAACCCACCTTCTGTTGTTTTTTTAGAGGGAAAGTATTGGCGGAATGCTTTTCTTTTTAAATAAAAGCTTATTTCGCTTGGTGTTAGAGTGAAGCGAAAACACAACTGAAATTCCAACGCCTCAGTAGCAATGCTGTTCACTCCTGTGTAGCAGTGTAGTAGTCGGCGACTCCATAGGCTCTTGCGACAAGTCGATAAGTTCAGTTGTTTACTCCTCTTTCACGAACTATGTGCACCAAAAAAACAACTGATTAAAAGGCACACGTGGACATCTAAGACTATCACACATCAAACACCACCACTTTTTTCTTCCATGACATCCCTTTGTTGCAAAAATGTCTCAACAAAGCGAGAATTATGTGGATACCATCATCCCTACCAAATAATACGTATTTCACTAGCACAGCCCGCTGTATCCGGGCACTGCGTGTTATCGTTCTGACCTTAGTGGGGTCATGGTCGTTGATCTGGAGCAAACAATTTTGAGACGTAGGCCTAGGCTATCTAGAATCTAGATTCTATAACTTGCGACCAAGGCTAACCGAATGCCCACATTCTTGTGACAGCAGACGTTTTAATGCAATAAATGTGCATCCGACAGCGTTAACCCTAACTATCAATGTATTTTCGTCTGTTTTTCACCTCTTCGTGGGCTGGGTTGTTGGGGGGTTTTTTGCGTGTGTGGTTTGTTCGTGTTGTACACAGTACTATCTTCCGCAACGTGTCCGCTCGTCACCTCAAAACAACGCGGTCACTATCACTGTGTTCGTTCGGCGATGTTGTAAGAAGGCGGTCTCTGGACTCTGGTGTGTCCACGCCGGTCACTAAAACATCTAGATATCAAGACCAACAAATTAATGTTGTGTAAATGTTTGAGGACACGCATTTGCTGCATGATGGAGTTTAAACAGTTAACACAACTCTCTCATTTTCTCTCCTGTCAGAAAGAAAAAAAAAATCGTTTATAAGGTTCTTATTAGTAGCGTACTGCTGCCAAAAATAATAAACCAGCTTAGGAATTTGGATTTTTATTTTTATTTTTATTTTTATTTTAGGGGGGGGGGGGCTTATTTAGATGACAATTTTAAAACAAAACCAGGGCATAATCTTTATTTTTTTCGGTATCATCCTTCATTACCGGTATGTGTGTTGTGTGTGTGTGTGTGGGGGGGGGGGGTCCCTAATATTTTTGCAATTGATTTCGGGGGGGGGGGGGGGGACACAACCTATTAATTAGTTTTATGGCATTTTGAAGAACAAGATTATATTTTAAGTGACAATTGTTGCGGAAAGTTGACGAGAAATGTGTCACGCGTTGTGAAATCAGGCGCTCGTCAATTTTTGGGCTTATATATACATGCATGCCCCTCTATGGGGTTATCGGTATCATCTTAAAGCCTGTCCATATGCCCACCATTTGGGGAGAGAAAAATACCCATCTATGTTGAATAGAAGTCGAAATATTTGCAATTGGGGTCAGGGTCGCTGGTTTCAGAGCAAAATTAGCGAGTAAAGTGACCGCCAAAGTCTGGTAACTTCCATAGCATAAGAGTCCTATTGGAAACTGAAAATGCATATTTTCTGAGCCTTTTCTCAAAATTTAAAAAAAATTAAAATTCTCACAAAAATGTGTTTCAAAAGGACATAAAGGGAGTAGAGCCAAAAGAAAGAAAAATAGGGGGGAGGTGCCCATCAGCCCCCCCCCCCCCCCCAAATGCAGCTTTGATTTCATTATTTTGACGAGCGTCTGATTTCCCCACGATGCCTCACAAATGTCTGTTGTTTCGTACCGTAGGCCTGGTTCTCAAATTGCGCAACTGGCCACACTTTTGGCCTATATACATGCTAGGTTGACATGGCCTATATATATTATAATTAGGGCCTTCATAATAATTATGCATCGTAGGCCTACGTATCCATCGCTTTTTCTCTCTTCACGTGCAGCAAGTGTGATCTCGGTGCGAGCAATCGATCTACAACACATCAGTTCGATTATCAAATGAGGATTAAACTTTTTTTTAAATGGTCTCATATGATGCCGTGTCCAATTCGGGGTGGCCCCAACGACATAGAGTGGAAGCAGCCGCTTTCTTAATGACCCAAACTGGATTGCTACGGTTGTAAAACATTTACAGTTAGGCATCAATACCTACATACTGCTCGTGTTTTCTAAATGTTTCGCCGGTGTCGAGTGTGCAGTCGTTTTAAAAACACAAGCCAACAAACAGAAAAATAGCCTATAGCAAAAATCTTTAACAGCTTAACAACAGGAAAAGTTGGCGAAAGGTCATCCGCAATCGAAGGGGTCAGAATGAAATAAAGGGTGTCATTAAGTCACCTTAAAGTGGCATTGTTAAAAATGTAAAAAACCGACTGGACTGCAGCATGCTAATAATTTTAGATCAAAGCTCAATGTTCTTTTCTACTGAATCTGGGTAATTTGTTATAGGGGTTTTCATGAGACATATTGGTAGGCCCCTAATAATTAATTAGACCAAGATACATGTCACTGGGTAGTCCGTTAGCTATAGTTAAAAAAGCTGACCCAAAAAAAAAAAAATCAAAAAGGAAATAAAAAAAAAATGACACGAAGAATGGACAAACGGTCCCAAAGTTATGAATCTTTACTAATTGTAATGAAAGGCCATAACTCTGATATAAAGCCCTACCAGTTATTTTATTCAAATGTTGTGTTCTGTAGTCTCCCCTGACTGGTGTCGTCATTAAACAACTCTATTTTTAGCTATATGTAACTTAGATCCTATTTTTCTTACCCCTTCAATCGATTTTTGAGGAAGACAATTTTTCACATTGAAGTCAGAAACAGGTACCGGAAGTTTTAACTTATCTCGCTCGACTGAAAAACAAAACAAAAAAGTTGTGCGCTCATTCGTCCTTAATAAAGGCGAACCATTTCTGCTTTGAAATAAGGGTTTATTATTAGTTGGTGCTTTAGTTGTTCTTGTTGTTGTTGGTGGTGGTGGTGGTGTTGTTGGTGGTGGTGTTTTTGTTGTTGGTGTTGTTGTTGTTGTGGATGTTGTTGTTTTTGTTGTTGGTGTTGTTGTAGTGTTGTTGTTGTTGTTGTTGGTGGTGGTGGTGGTGGTGGTGGTGTTGCTGTTGTAGTTTTTATGAGGGTAT